CTTCGTCTGTGTATGGTACGGGCTGGCGCTGTCTTCCTGTGTGAAGCGCCAGGCCCATTCACACCATGTAACGATGATGATGATGTATGTTCAGGACTGCATTACAACATTGATTGTTCGGATCACTGGTATCTAAGTCTTCCGTTGTGCTATCTTATACTTGTATTGAAAGGTCGGTTCTTGTTCTGGTCTGCACGTTACAGTATGCAACACCTAGTCTACAGAACACAGGGTAAAGGGTAGGTCTAGGGATCGAATCTCACTCCGCACACAGGGTCAATGTACAAGGTACAGGGTCGGTCTAGGGATCAAATCTCACTCAGCACACAGGGTCAATGTACAGGGTTTGAGCACAGGTCTAGGGATCGAATCTCTGTGTCTGCAAATGTCGGGTCTGCTGGGTGAAACCATTTCATCCAGAATTCCTTGGCCGTTTATTGTGGCCGACCGTTTTTTCCATCCTTTTTCCTGTGGGTCCCACCCTAAGGGTATTACAGTACTATTACTCATTACTAGGACTTTTTCAAAGCAATCTGGAAGCGGACTCTGGCCGTAATTCCGTACAGATACATCCAGGAAAGTCCTAGGTTTGGGTACTCATGCATCATCAACTAAGGGCATAATCATCTGAGACATTTTCAGACAGGAATCTGTTGGTAATTCCATCCACATACGTACCAGCAAGTCCTAGTGGGAGAATGCATCAGAAGTTCAGAACTTAAACCACCAGAACATCCAGCTATCGGAGGCCGCCCGCCGTCGATTCAATTTATCTACGGCGCTGGGCTTCCGAAATTTTCGTAGGCGACGAGTTTTCTTTTCGGCAAGGCTGGGGCCGTGTACTGGCGGTTTGACGCGATGCCAGAGCATGTGATGGTGCATGGTAACTATGTTCAACAAGAAGATGAAACCATGCAGCAACTGCCAGCAAGTTTTTTCTTTTTCTTTTTCTTTTTCTTTTTCTTTTTCTTTTTCTTTTTCTTTTCTTCTTTTCTGATTTTCTTTTCCTTTTTTCTTTTCTTTTCTTTTTCTTTTTTTTCTTTCACGCAAAACACACGCACCGTCTATTCTGGGGGGCGCCAGTCCAGTAACGACTATCAACAGGAAGATGAAGCCATGTAGCAAGGGTTTTTTTTTTTTTTCTCTCTCTGTTTTTTTTTTGTTTTTTTTTTTTAACATGCAGCAAGTTGTACTCCTAAAAGAAAATGCACCGAGTTCTGTACTCCAAAAGCAAGGAATCCAAAATGCGGCATGTAAGAGTTTTCGGATTGACAAGGAGGAAAGAATCGGCCTCCTGTTTGCGGAGTGGCAAGTCACCGATGATGACTATTTTCAATTTTGTCCCTGGCATGGAATCTGTGTTTTGGATAAACGTGGCACTTGGTGGAGTGACGAGTCACCGATGACGGGTATTTTACTATTTTGTCCCTGGTGTGGAATCTGTGTTTTGGATGAATGTGGCTCTTGATAGTGTGTGACGAGTCACCTTTGACAGGTATTTTGTCCCTGGTATGGAATCTGAGTTTTTCTGTTGAATGTATGTGTCTCTTGGTGGGGCGACGAGTCTCAGATGACGAGTATTGTGACCCTGACACCCTGGTATGGAATCTGTGTTTCGGTCCTTTTGGAAGAATCTGCCTCTTGGTGGGGGAATAGTCACTGATGATGTGTATTGCATCGCTTGTATGGAATTTTTCCTCGGTTCCTTGCAGGGGTGCAAAGTGTGCTTCTTCAGTTGGGTTGAGCAAGAGAGAAGAAGAACGCAGAATTTAAGACGGACAGGAGGCTGAAGCGTGCCTGTGAAACAGGACAGTCAATGAGGAGGCCATTTTGTTTTGGAGTAACTAGACATGGCAATTGAGACCAGTCAAGTTGTTAGAGTTGACCTCGGTTAGTTATACCAGTTGACTTTGGTTAGGTTTACCAGTTGGCTCTAGTTAGGTCAACCCTGAGGCAGCTTAGGCTATGCATTTGCAGTCCTTTGCATAGCTATACCAGTTGACTCTGGATAGGTGTACCAGTTGACTCTTGTTAGGTCAACCCTGAGGCAGCTTAGGCTATGCATTTGCAGTCCTTTGCGTAGCTATACCAATTGACTCTGGATAGGTATACCAGACTCTACTTAGGTCAACCCTGAGGCAGCTTAGGCTATGCATTTGCAGTCCTTTGCGTAGCTATACTATATGACTCTGGTTAGGTATACCAGATGACTCTAGTTTAGTCAACCCTGAGGCAGTAAGGCTATGTATTTGCGGTACTTTGCATAGCCAGACCAGTTGAGTCTTGTTAGCTATACCAGTTGACTCTAGTTAGGTCTACCCTGAGGCGATTTAGGGTATGCATTTGCTTGCAGTATTTTGCATAGCTATAATAGTTGACTGACTCTGGTTAGGTGTACCAGTTGACTCTAGTTAGGTCTACCCTGAGGCCGTTAGGCTACGTATTTGGAGTACTTTGCACAGCCTGCATGCGTTTTTGTGTACGATTTTCAAGTTGCCCTGCTCGTATGTCATTACATTTCTGGGTAGGTCTATCCTAGGTGGCCGCTGTGTTTACTTGTATATCCTCTTACCCCCTAAGGTGATTCCATAGCTGTATCCTCGTATATACCTTTGAGAGTCACTGCGGTAATAAGATAACATTCAATGAAGGGATGCATGCCCGCATTTCAGTGCCCTTTTACCCTGAGACTGAAGTCCTTAGACAAAATGAATCTCGCCCTGTGAGCATATGCATATGATATTCAGGCGATGACCTGTCGTCATGCAATGACATGCGGGCAAACTCTGTCTTCATGAAATCGTAGAAGAACTGAGGAACGATGTAAATAAAGATATAGGATGTTGTTGCGGATTCTTTCAATCTTCAGCATGTTCATAACAGCACAGCATTCTAGCTGTTCGAGGTATCATCATGCTGCTACGAAGAGATACGAGGGAGAATTCCTTGGCTGATGACTGAAAGTCACTCATGCTGGATTGTTTCTCAGCAGACCGAGAGTTCAGATCTGGTCGAGAGTTCAATCCTGTGTGTGTTACTCAGTAAGTTGCCACCCATCCAAGCCATGTCTGCATCTTTGAAAAAGGAAGGAGAGAAAGAAGGTTGAGGTGCGAAGCCCGTGCTCAACAGCCTCGGAATCGAGTTTAGTTGTAGTCGTTGTCCTCCATCCAAGTCCATGTACTGTCCGAATCTTCTGGAAGTTGGTGCACGTAGCCAAAAGGTTTTTGCCCTTTTGTCAATCATCTGTGAAGTGGCTGGAATTCTGCTATGACTTTGACTTTGAAAGTTTGACTATTTCTAGCTTGAACTGTCCACCTTCTGGTGGTACAGAATAGCTCTTGAAATGAAAATGTCTCTTGTTTAGCACGATTCACTAGTATAGTACGCACTCGCCGCACCGTCATAAAAATTGCAATCCTTGGGACTATATGTTTAGTGTGAGTGGAAACTAGAAACACCAGGCGTGTTAGATGCGCAGAGAATCTGGTCAGAATCTGGTCAGAATCTAGTCAGGATCTGGTCAGAATCTGCTCAGGATCTGGTCAGGAACAATCTAGTCAGAATCTGGTCAGAATCTGGTCAGAATCTGGTAAAATCTGGTTGAATCTGGTCAGCATCTGGTAAGAATTTGGTCAGATTCTGGTCAGAATCTAGTCAGATATGTGTCAGGGAAGGAGGAGAAGTAGGATATAGCTTCCGGAATCCGAATCGTAATTTGTGAAGGGCAGCGCCACTCATTCATTGGAGCTCTGTGTACTGTAGTTTGTTTTTGTATAGACAAACTGTTGAGAGTCATTGACTGCAGATTCTTGGACTGCTGAGTCATTCACGCCTAATCGCTTTTGCAGGTCTAAACTCTAGTAAATAAATACAGGCGAAGTCGGTAGTAATTGTTGACCAGATAGCGACAGATCAGCGGTCCAAAAAAAAAAAAGAACAATTGCTGACCAGATCGCAACAGATCAGCGGTCCAAAAAAAAAAGAACAAGAACAATTGCTGGAGACGTGGAGAGTTGAAAACGTGCCATTCTTTGCATTCAGTCAACTTGAAAGAAGCAACGCTGAAACTGGAAGAAAGAGGAGATAAAGTAATATAAACTAGTTGTG